ATTCAAAATACATAGAAAGGTCTTAATTGCCAGGAGGCATGGACCAACCAATCAGAACAGCCAGCTAAGTCAGACCAGCACCGGGTTCTGGATGCCCCGGACTGTGTGAGATGTAGACTTCAGGTTACCCGTATGGCCATATGGCCACTTCCATTGCACAGCGATGTCTTCCAAATGTCTTCCTAATTCTGTAGGAAGTCCCCAAGAGTCACATTAAGTGAAAAATCTGCATATGATGTAATAAATACAACTTTTTAATCAGAACTTTTGGTTAGAAGTGAAATGTAATATTTTGCTATCTCTCCCTAAAGTAAGTAGGGTGGCTGATGTTTCAGGTAGAGGGAGACTATGAGAAAATCTGTATTCTACCTCTTAAAAATTGTTTTTCCTGTGGTGTCTTATTTAGCTTCCAGAATGATACCGGTTTTCTCATTCTATGTCAATTGAATTGTTACATGTTGAAATAAGGTTTTGTGCACCGAGAAGAGTAATTGCCTCTCTGTTATGCAAACGAAAGTGAAGTGAATCTCACAGGCTTGTCTTGGAAAACCCACACCAGCAACCCAGAAACCACCACTTCCTTTCCTAACAGGTTGCTTGGAAACCTTGTACTCCTTTCTAAAACCTTCCCTGAAACCGTGTTCTTACAGCACGACGGGAATCCGCACTAACTCCCCACTGCAGGCAGGCTTGTCTGCTTCCCCCTCCCCCGTGTCTTCCTTTCTTCCTCTCTTTCTGAAAACTGTGCTGTACAGAAAACTTACAAAAATTTCCACCACTCAGAAATAACCCCTTTCGACCTTTGAGTGAATAGCCTGCAAAATTATCTATGTAAAGAAAAATATAGACATGGCTATTAATAACTATTCACATAACTGTATCTTCCACCATTGCCTTCTCTTCTGTTTGATTGTAAAACATCAAATAAATGACAATGGACTGAAATACAATGAAATTGATCTGAAGAAATATCTCCTGGTCAAATGCAAGTTCAAGCTCCTTACATTGGCATTTGAGACAGTTCACATTCCCTGGAAAACATTCTTTCTGATTTCTTCATTCATTCAAACAATATTTGATTACAGTCACACTTACTGTGTGACACTCTTTAAAGTATTGGAAAAGCTGCCCTAGCCCCTGCAGGCATCCTCCCAGTAATCCCTTCGCTCTGCTATCTCATTGTGCTCCCTGTAGGAGCCACTTGGCTTTTGCTATTCAACGTATGCCGACTGGTGCGTTACTTCTCTTTCCTAAACGGAAGGTAGACCTGTCTTGGACATCCTTTTATCCTCTGCCTTATTTAGTGCGGTGCCCTAGATTCAATAAGCAGCTGATGAATATTTGATAATAAAAACAAGGATGCTGTTACCACCACGTAAGAAAGCTTCACAGCGATGTTTTATTCCTAAATACCTGTGAAGCTGTAGGCACTGCTGTCCCTGTGCTTTCTCACTGTGCCGTTTACCGATTTCTGTAGCTCCAAACCTGGTGTGATTCTTGTTTAGGGTCTAACGGGAGAATTTCGGCTTCCGAGATGTTTCCTTAATATGATAGCACACAACATGATTTTCCTCCCTCTCCCTTTCATTCCCTTCCTCCTTTTCTTTTCCCTTCTTTCAACTCATTATCCTTAAAAACAGTGACCTAATCTTTTTAAAAAATGGTTGAACACTGGGGTTTCCCAGATGTAGTAGGAAGAATGTTTCCCTCATCCTGGTGGCCAAGGCCTTTGGCACCTGAGGTTTTATGGATTCTGCTCCTCTTGGCAGTCACTTCTCTTTTTTGGTGCCTGCGGTGTTCCTGGGACTGTACCAGGTGTTTTATACACAGTCATTCTGATTCCTACTCACAATAAGCCTGCAAGGTAGGTGTTCCCGCAATTTGTTGGCGAGTAAAGGGCAGCTCAGAGACATTTGCAGATATCTCTCCATTTGGGCAAAGTTTAAAAAGAGGCACAATCAAAACAGGTTGGCTGACATAACTGCTTCGCAACAATGTTAGAGACTGAGTTAAACTATTACAAACCCCTCCCAGGAAAGGTGCTCGTTAAAGCTTCCAATTCCTTTGAGAATATGCATGGACATGTATTTACTCCTTCCTAGCTTTAATTTCTGAAATTGCTGCTCCCTTAGTGAGGACTTTGCAAACATATTCAGGGCTTAGGGTTTTCACAGGGATCCAAAATCTTTCTTGATACCAGGGGCCACATCTCGGGACTCTTCAGGCAGGGGGGAGCAGTCAGGTGACAGGCAGGTAGGACAAGCAGGGACCACAACCAGAACATCCCTCTGGGGTGGGGCGGATGCTGGGGGCCAGACCCAGCTGCAGGCCTGAGCCCCTGGAGCTCAGGGCACTGGGTGAGGAGCAGTCATTCAGGAGATCTCTCAGGGTCGCAGGAGCCAGAGAGTGGCAGTGGGGTGCCCCGTGACTGTGGTGGCCGCTGTTCCCACCAGCATCCTCTGTGCCTGGAACTTTACGTTACCTGTAATTCTAATACAAGGTTTCCCAGATTGTGGCCTGTGAAACACAGCGTTGAGAGCACAGAAATAGCCCCAGGGTCAAGTAAGTGTGAGAAACAAAGTGTGCTATTTCCATGCCACCAAGAGATCATTAAAGCTTCCTAAAATACAAAAATGAGCAAAAAAAAAAATCCTTGCAATCAAGAAGGCGTACTGAAAGCATTTAAGATAAGAATATGTAATGGGCAAAAGAAATGGCATCTACATTCTCCGAAATTTTGAGAATTTTTTGTTAAAAAAAAGGTAAGATGGTTCCTTAAATACATGAAGTGAAGCATTTTTTTTCCTGTAAGAGGGGAAACAGGGAAGATTTGAACCCAGAGGCACAGGGACCATGTAAAGGCAGAGCTTGAAGATGAAGAAATCATCTTTTCTTCTTCTGTTCAAGATGTCTTGTTCCTCAGATGATTTTTATGTCTCGTTCCCCAAAGAAATTGTGAGTTCCTTCATGGAATTCCAAAAGAGGCAGGCAAGAGAAGTTTTTGGCATGGCAAGAGTACTGATAGTTAATGAACTACAACCCCAACAAATAAACAAAGGTCTGAATCACGGGAGCCTGAGGAAGGAGAGTGGAAAAGTGCTCTCTCTGAGCTAGAAGGGGAGTGGGGGAGGAGGAGGAGGAGGAGAACACGGTGGCGGGGGAGGGGGGATTCTGGGTGGAGGAGCCTGTCGGGCAGGGGAAAGACTCCCATGAGACAGTCTCGGTCAGCTCGGTGATGTGGGGGCCGCACCCTGCTCTCAGAGGGAGCTGGCAGCGTTCGGGGGTGGGCAGATGGGAAAGGCACTGAGCGAGACAGAAAACAGCTGTTGGGGCTCATGTGTTTGGAGTCAACAAGAGATGCAGGAACTTATACCGAGCAAGAGTGCGAACCCAATGTGGAGAATGGTCAATGCAGTGGTGGTCTCTGGAGTCAGGCCAATGAGGTTGGGTTGGAATCCCAGGTCCGCCCCTTTCTAGAAGGTGGTGGAAATTAAACTGGGCGATATTTGTAAAATACTTGAGAGGGTGCCTGGCATGTCGGTAAGTGCTCAGTAAATGTTAGCTATTGTTGCTGCGGCTGCTGTTGTTGTTATAGGGGACTCCTGAGATTTATATTGAAGAAACATGGGAGGACCAAGGTAGGCTCACAGTCATGATACAAGGCAGGGACCCAAGGCTGAGGACAGGCTCGGCAGGCACGGACAGCAGTCCCATAGTGACAGAGTCTGCATTCCTAACTAGGAAGGGAGTGTGGTAAACCCCAGAAAGACAAACATGAGACACTGAGCCGGAGCCCCTGGCTGGGGAAATACTCAGCGTCATGATAAGACCTAACACGTTGCCATGAAAACCATGGTTACCATGTAGGCATTCATTCAATTCCTCTGACAAAACTTGTTTTGAGCACCTACTATGTGCAGTGAACAGAACACACAAACCTCCCTGTCCTCACAGAGCCTGTGTTCTTACGGAAGCTTGACCTAAACTCTTTCCCCTCCTCATGGCCTTTATCTCCTCAACAAACCAATTAGGTGGGTATTTTCAAACCCACTTTCCAGACAAAGAATTAAACTTTGCCTCAGACCAAATAGCTAATTAATGGCAAAGCCAGGATTTAAACACTGCTCTAATTTTAAAGTTCATGCTTATCACAACTGTTCTGCATTTCATCTCTGTGCTACTGATAATGTTGGTGAAGAGGAAGACCTAAGGGCTGAGGGGCTTAGGATGTGTCAGGTGCTCCCCAAGGATGATGGGAGAAGCTGAGGCACAGAGGGAAATGTGACCTCATCCCTGATGTCCTGGGAGAAGTAGGAATGGGTTGTGGAGGGTGGTAGGAGGAAGTGCGGACTTCAAAGCCAAATGGGTGACAGAGCCATAAAGTGGAGCAGCCCAACATGCAAGATCAATGGCTTCCTTTCGTTCCTGCTCAGTGGGGAAGGAGCGAGAGAAGTCCTGCCCTCCACTGTAGAAGGTCTCAGGGGCTTTGTGCAGGCATGGAGATGAAAGGGACAGGCACGGCAGAAGCAGCTGAGGTTGGCAGAGCATCCCACAGCATCCTGTCTGAGGCTCAGAGATGGATGGACAGAGAGCTGCAGTGGAAAGGACTTAGTTTTCAAAGAGCTGGGAGACAGGCTGGAGATGCAAGTTAAAGGGGCAGCAGGAGCGCACTGCCTCCCTGGAACCCTGCCAGAGGGGGTTGAAGGGTTGCATGTGCCGCATTCCAAGTGGAATGTCAGAGAGGGCAAGTCCAACTGCAAACTTACCTGCCTGGGTGTGTGCCACCTATAAATGGCCTCTTCTCTGCCTTTGGTGCTGGGAAAAGAAGAAGCTGGCATCACCAGAACTTTCCAGAGAATCTTGACTATTGCTAGTCTACCCTATTGAATTCAGAGGTATGTGTGATTTCCAAACTGGGAAGAGTGAGGATATTAGCAGGTATACGCTATGCCACAGCCGTGCCATCTCAGTGAAACTTTGCCAGGAGCCTGTGGTGACATCACATCCTTGATCAGTGGAACCATACTTTAAAATTTCCGAGATTCCCAAATCGTCCAGCTAGCAGGTATTGAAGGGGGCGATCTGGGTGTTCTGGCCCGGGGAAAACTCCCACAAAATGGAAGTTAGAGATTTTCATCAGCCATCTTTTAAAATAATTGATCTGTCCCTTTTTGACTAATGTTTCTCCAAATTTGTAACCATAAAGGCTTTGATGAAGCAGCGGGAAGGCGGAGGGATCCACTCTAGTTTTACCAAGTTGTCCTAGGCACCAGTGGTGTAAACATACAGGAATGAAGACATAGAGTGTAGGGAGAAGAGAGGTGCCAGTTTATAAGGTCTGAGTGCAAGCACTTCTAAACTGTACTATGTAGATGAATCACCTGGGATCTTGTGTAAGTGCTGGGGCTGATGCAGTGAGTCTGAGGTGGGGCCGAGATCCTATGTGTTAGCCAGTTCCCAGGTGAGGCTGCTGCTGCTGGTCCACAGGCCGTACTTGGAGTGGCAAGGACCTCCACTGCACAACCACTCCAAAGTTAGCTTTAAAGCATGGCTTGGTTTCAAGGCAAGAAGGCTATATAACCAAGCCATCAAAACACACTGGACATTAAATGCACATGTGATGGTAGGATGATGGCAAAACTGGCAGCCAGGATCTGCAGGTTGAAATCCTATCCTACCATTTCCTGGCAAGAAAACCTGGGGTGAACCATGGATCCTCTCTGAGTCTCAGTTTCCTCATCTGAAAGGGTGGCGGCAGTAAGAGCTGCTGGGTTGCCTGACACACAGGCTGGATGTGAGGGTCAAAGGGAACAACCTAGTAAAAATGCTGTACACGTATGACTATTGTTATTATTATTATTATATTTCAAGCTAAAGAAATCTTACTAAGAGCTTCCATCCCCACTGTTTTCATTTTATGAAAGAACATTGCCAAGTATTTGTATCTATCAAACACTGTGGTAAGCTCAGCAAGGACTCTTTGGTTTGCCCTTCACAACTCTAATAACATTAGTAGTACAATGCCAGCTGCATGTTACAGGTGATGAATGTAAGACTTAGAACATTAAGATTATGCTTAGGTGCTCCCTGGCTGGTGTGGTTCAGCAGGTTGGAGCATCGTTCAATACACTGAAAAGTTGAGGGTTCGATTCCCAGCCAGGGTATGTGCAGGAGGCAACCAATCAATGCGTCTTTCTCTAAAAGCGATAAAAAAAAGTCCGTGGGTGAGGATTAAAAATAAAAATGTCTTGATTCTCCAAAAGTCTTCAGTTGACTCACTGTGACGAACACCCAGCATCCCAGAAGAGGGTGATGGTTTACAAAAGGAGTTGGCCGACTGTTTCTGCAAAGAGCAAGATGTTAAATATTTTAGGCCTTGCAAGCCAGGTAGTAAATATATTAGGCTTTGTATTCCCAATTGAGGTCTTTTGCAACCATCCGGCCCCGTCCCCACAGCACAAAAGCAGAGCGTACAATATGCAAAGGAATGGGTGTGGCTCTGTCCCAATAAAGTGTCACTTACTGAAACAGGTGGCAAGACGGATTTGGCCTGTGGGCTATAGTTTGCTGATTCCTGATCTAGAAAACTCTGACGTGTCCAATATGGTGGCTATCTGAATTTAAACTTAAATTACAAATTCAATGCCTCGGTTGCATTAACCACATCTCAACTGCTGAATAGTCACACGTGGTTATGCCTGCTATTCCAAACTGTGCAGAGAAGATTTCCATCATCACACAAGGGTTTATCGGAGAGGCCTGGTCTCAGTCATCTTTGGTGGTGGGAGAGAAATCTCTTACAAGTGGCTGTCAGGGCGTGGAAGTTCGGAGCCCTGGTTCTGCTCATTCGCCAGTTACATGACTCTAAGCAAATCACACCATCTCCTAGATTAACGCACACATAAAATGGGGACCATGCCTTCCTCCTTGTGTTGTGGGAACTGACTAAGGAAATATGTGGGAAGCCCTTTGTAATCTGTTAGGAGCTGCACAAACACAAGCCATCATTAGGAATCTAATTGTCAATTGAAATGGGAGAAAATGTATGGAGGCAAAGTTTGTGTAGGTTCCCGGATTGAGAGAATCTTATTTTTGTTTAAACCACCCAATGGAAGCTACTCAAATGTCAGAGAGTTACTAAAATAAAGAAATCTTATTATTTGTATGGCATTCTAATTTTCAAACAGGAAAGAGGTACGAAACCAGGCAGATTTCAGTGGCCATTCATCTTTCAGAGCTTGGAATTGCCTTAGTATGCTTAACACCTTCAGGAAACAGATGGGACCGTCCAGATAGGGGCCATGATGATACTGGGCGGGTCTCAGTGTCCTTCCTGAGAGAGACCGAAATATTTATGCTTCTCTGTCAAACTCCCAGTGAAGAAGGGTGCAGCTGTCTCATACCAAAGGTTCTAGGCCTTCTCCTTTGCTTCTACTTCACAGAGCCCCTGCCCCCTGCACCTCAGCCACTGTGGATCCCCACATCGGTCAAGGGCAAAGCTCAGTTTTGCCTGAGTGATAGACCAGGCCCTTGGTTGCCTAGATGATTCCTGCATCTCAGCGGTTCCCTATGCCTCCCTCCTCTGTCCTCCTGTTTTTAATCCCAGCTGTATATTACCTTTCCAGGAAAGGTAATTATCACTTCCTTTCCCATCAGTCTACAGTCCCCTCTGTCCCTCAGGGTTCTGTCTCTCAGAGTCCTGGGGGCCCGGCTACTCTCCTGTTCTACCCCATTTTCCTATTGTCACTCATTTGAGTACCCAGAGATGTTTCTTTCTTGCTGGTGCTGGGTACAATCCTTTTGATTTCCATCAGTGACTAGGAGTTATGTTTTATATTTTTATAGCCTTTTATATGAACTTCTTAGAACTTGTCCCACACTTCTCTGCTGTTCCCCTTTACTTTTATAGCCTTTTATATGAACTTCCTAGAACTTGTCCCGCACTTCTCTGCTGTTCCCATTCGCCTTTATTTTCCTCACGTCAGAAGGATGCTGACAGCCCTCCTCGGCTCTCCAGCTACACTTGCCTCTTGGGCTCGAGTGAAGGTTCCTATTCTCTGCTAGTTAGTGATGGTGCATATAGAAATTACTTTTCTAAAAATTATTACTTTTTTAGAAAGGTAATTTGGAAATATGTTTCTAAATCCTTCAAAATCTGCATATTCTGCTGTCAGTAGTTCCCCTTCCAGGGAAGGGTCCTAAGTGAATTACAGAGATGCACAGAAAATGACTAAATAAGGCTATTCATTGCTGTATTATTTATAAAAGTGGAAAATTAGAAAACATCTAATTGTCAACAATAGTTAAAGAATAAAAGACATAAAATTTAAAAATGAAAAGATATGCCAAAATATGAACAGTGGTTTTGCTTGTGTATCTCTGAGGTCTCTCTAGTTATCCCTGGAGTACCAGTGATTTTTATTTTCTCCTTTGTCATTTTCTGTCTTTTACAATGTGCATAGATAGCCATCAGAAAGAGGTTATACAAACGAAGGTTCCCATTTCACTAGCCTGGTTATTTTGTATTGCTTGTTAATATTGCTGCTCAAGGACTCAAAAAACATACATTTTTGTTTTTATAAGGAAAGATCATAAGATTTAAAGGAAATAGTCAGAAAATGAACAAAGTTAATAGAAGTTTTAAAAAATCAATCTTTGGTTTAATTAACAAAATCAACTTTAGCCAGAACGCCGAAGCTGTCTTATCTCACCATCAGAGCCCTGCCAAATATTTAGAAATGAGCACTGCCCGGCCCCGGTTCCGCAGCTCCTGACCCCTTGTGCTGTTCTACACAGCGTGGGCTTGGGATGCTAGGTGCGTGCGCAGACTTTCCTGTTTCCTGCTTTTCTCTTCATCTCTCACAAGCAAAATGTGTTTGATGACTTCTGGAGTCTGTTTGTTCCAAAACCTCTTATTGGGCCTCCATTGCAGCTAAGCACTGTAAAGTGCTGGGAGTGTGTGTGCGTGTTGAGGGAGATACGTCCTTTGAGGAGGGGATGGAGATTATATATATAATCTTCTTTGCCCTTAGTGGGCACTCACACTAGGAGGGACTCAGAAAAGAAAAAAACATGTGTGACAAATCCATGCTAGAAGTAACAGGTATGTCACAAAGGCATGGATGGCAGTGGCCATGCAGGGAGATGGCTGGGAATTAGGACAACTGAGATTTGAAGAATGAACTGGATGGGGGTAGAGAATTCCAGAAAGATGGGACAGCACATGCAAAGACAAACGGGCCAGAGAGAAACTGTGTCCTGAGAGAGGAAGGCTGAGAGAAAAGTGACGATGGGGGAGCAGGCAGGCAGGACACCAAGATGTGGAGATAATGTCGGGTGGGACCTGGAAGCCAGGACCCAGCAGGAGCCAAGCAGCGATGAGGACGGACGTAAGGCACTGACTGGTGGCAGAGATGCCGTGACGATAGGAGAAAAGGGACACGTTTAAAAGACAGGTGTTCTTGGGCACCGAGTGGGTATGACATGGGTAATAAAGAGGGAAAAGAAGGTCTGCCCCGAAAACTCGGGGACCACTTCCAGGGTTCCGGCAGAGGCGCCTGGATGGATCGGGAGACCATGTGCAAGGATGGGGAACCCGGACAAGGTAGAGGGGAACCAGAAAGAGTTTGAGTTTTTGCTGAGTTTGAGGTGCCCATGGAACATCTAAATGGAGACACTGAGTAAGCTCTTCAAAGAGCTGCACATACATGGAAAGTAATGCCCTCAGGATATGTATTTCACGTAGCACACTTTTAGTTTGTTATTACAAACATATACGTCCAACTTTTTACACGTTCAATCCTGCAGATTTCTAAAAATCTTTTACTTCTTTAAGATTTCATTCATTTATCTTCAGAAAGGGGGGGAGGGAAAAAGAAAGGAAGAGGAGCATCAGTGTGTGGCTGCCTCCCATGTGCCCCCGACTGGGGACCTGCCCTGCAACCCAGGCAGGCATGTGCCCTGACCGAGAATCAAACTGGTGACCCTCTGCTTTGCAGTCTGGTGCTCAATCCACTGAACCACACCAGCCAGGGCTAAAATCTTTTATTTCTATTTCCTGTCCTTCGACTCTTTTGCGGCACATTAACCATCCCAGTGAATTGATTGAAAAAACAAGAAATGTCACCATAAATGATGGGACGTAGAACCCTAGAGGTGATCTGGCCCAGTTTTCTTACTCTGGAACTGGAAACAGTGTTCAGTGGTTAGAAGATGGGAACAGCATGCACGGCAGGAGGACAGGCTTAGCATTAAGGTCCCCAGTTCCCAATCTTTCTCTGTGTCCCAGTGTTTCTGCTGCGTTGGAACATCTTGTCAAAAGGTTTGGTGGGAAGACATTGAAACTGTAGATGCTTTTCTTTTTCATGAGGAGGTGTTAAGTACAGTGGAGTCATATAGTACTTGGAAAATCTAGCCTTGATTTCTTCACCTGTAAGTGTGATAATAATCCTCGTATCACTGGTGAGGCACCAGTGGGTTATGAAAGTGACCATCGTAAGGACTAGATATTTCTTAATCTGAACCCAAGGCTTGGATATGGATCGGAAAAATGAATTCAAGTTCTTCTAGTCCATACACTTACTAGTCATATGTATTGGTTTTCCTTGGTTGCTGTAACAAATTTACCTCAACAAAGAACAAAAAAATGTATTTTCTCAGACTCTGGAGTCCAGGATCCTGAAACCAAGGGGTCGGCAGAGTCACGCTCCCCCCGAACGCTCCAGGGGAGAGCGCTTGCTGCCCCTCCCAGCCGTGGGCGGCCCTGGGCATTCCTTGGCTCACGGTTGCCTCTGTTTTCACATGACCTTCTGCTCTGTGTTTGCGTGTTCTCTTCTGTCTCTCATTAGGACACTTGTCACTGAATTTAGAACCAACCCAAGTCATCCAAAATAATCTCATCTCAAGATCCTTAACTTAATTACACGGCAAAAACTCTTTTTCCAACTAAGGTCACAGGGTCTTAATATTAGGGCGTAGACATATCTTTTTTTGTAGTGAGAAATATATATATATATATTAAATTACTTTAACTTAAATTATTAAATTATTGTTTTATTACAGTTGTCTGTATTTTCTCCCCACCACTACCCCCCATCCCAGCCAAACCCACCTCCCTCCCTTGCTTCCACCCTCCCCTTTGGTTTTGTCCATGTGTCCTTTATAGTAGTTCCTGCAAACCCTTCCCCCAATTGTCCCCTCCCCCTCTCCTCTGGCTATTGTTAGATTGTTCTTAATTTCCATGTCTCTGGTTATATTTGTTTGCTTTTTCTTTTGTTGATTATGTTCCAGTTAGAGGTGAGATCATGTGGTATCTAACCCACTCTACCACAGAAGCTTGGGCAAGTCACTGAATGTGAGTGGCCGAGGGGATTTCAATACCTGGCTTTACCCTCCTCCAGTCTATCATGAGAATCAAGAGGAGTAATGCACATGAAAGAAATTTGTAAAGAGTTATGTGAATGTTGGTTATTCCTATTGACTTGGCCAGTAACTTATACAGAGATTTCAATAAGAGATTCATCTGTTCTCCCTACTCCACCTTTTTCTCCTTTCAGTTTAAAAATAATTTTGCTGAAACACAAGAACTTCAGATCAAATTTCTTCATGGGGGAGGGGAAATATTTCACAATGTGGTTATTAAAGATGAGCAGTGTTCAAAGATAAACGATTGTTGATGGTGTGATGCTCAGGCTTGAAATAGCAGAAAATGCCTTGAATGTTTTTCTAGAACAAGGCAAGAAACAAAGAAATAAATTTTGTAGGTCAAATTTACATAGAAGGTTTTTCCCTCCATACTCATTATTATAAATAGAAACTTAAAAGACTTATATGATGATTACTCACATTCTTACATTTATATTTTAAAATTGTTGCCATCAGTCACATTGGTTTTATCTCTGTAAATATACGGAATATTCTAAACCATTTAAGAGTTGGCTGGAGATAGCACGGCACTTCATCCGTATTCACACAGCACTGATAAAAAAACTTTCTTCTCCATAACCAAACTATCATTATCACATCAGAAAAATTAGCAATAATTCTATAAAATAATCTAATATTCTCAATTCTCTGAATATTCTAAATTTCTCTGTGAACTTCCAAATGTCTTTTCTGGCTGTATTTTTATTTAAAATTTTTGAATATATTTATTGATTTTAGATGGTGAAAAAGGCGGGGGGGGGTGCATTGATTTTTTGCCTCCCATACATGCCTTGACTGGGGACTGAGGCTGCAACCTAGGTATGTGCTCTGAACGGGAATCAAACCTCTCATCATTCAGGGGTCTGGGGACAATGCTCTAACGATCTGAACCACACTGGCCAGGGCCTGGCTGTATTTTTTTAAACCAGCATCCAAACAAGGTTTATGCAGTGCATTTGGTTGTTGTAGCCCTTAGACTGTTAATATAGAACAGTCCCATCCCCTTTTTCTTTCTTCTCACACTGATGTCTTTGAAGAGACCAGTCCTCTGGTTTGAGTAGAGTGCTGGAGCCCATGGACAAATGGAATTATATTTCTCATTAGCACTGAAAATAGCTGTGTGTGGATGCTGAGGTTCTGCCTGTTGCTGACCCAGCCTTCCTCTGTCAATGCAGCAGAAGAGCATGTCTGCTTACCTTACAAATGCACCAGAAGGTTCCAGACTCAGGGCTATGCACGTGCCTCTAGAGAGGGGCATGGGCAGGCTAGAGGGACCACCACCACCTCTTATGATAGACCGTTCTGCTTTGCTTCTCTCGTGATCACCATCAGGATATGTTGGAACTGGGGGCTGAGCATGACCAGGACTTGCAGAGTGAACAGGATGAGCAAGAGACACATTACGTTCGGTGTGAGGATCCTCAAGTCTCCACATCTTTGCAGTTTTCAGAGGAGAACATTCATGAACTGTAAGCCTTGACACATGCAAGAGGGAACATGTAATAATGTTTTGTGGAGGGAAAATGAAATGTAGCCAAGAACTCAGGGAAAGCCCAGAAGACGTAAAATCCACACATGAATTGAACCATGAAGCACTCATGTGCACAAGTAACTTCGTGCAAGTTCCAGCAAGAATGCAGAGTTAGGACATTTCTAAGCGTGTAGGCAGAACCATAGCACTCCCAGATAATTGTCTAGATATGATAAGTATTGCAATTATCATTAAAAATATTGTTAGGCTCTTGTAGACCCTTTCCCTATCGTATTCCTCTCCACCCCCCTAAAAGGCCACCACTGCTCTGAAATCAATATTTAACATTCACTCTATGTAGGAAAATGAAAAATATATCTATTTTTTACTAAATGTAAAATGAGCTTTATTTTCTCTAGCCTTGCAAAGACCTGCTAAAATGGATAGCAAGTAAATTCCCAAGCTTCTTTCTTGAGGCCTAACTGCCCATCTGTCCTATTTTGGTGACGGGAAATGAATAAGCAAGCCAGTTTGCCATTCAAAGGAACAGGGTTGCGGGCCATGTGAGATGTTTGCCATTTCTACCTTAAAACTGATCATAGTGATATTTCTGCAGGAGTCAGGAGAACATGTTTTTCCAGCTAAACCACTGGAACGCACAGATGGGTCTACAAGTGAAGGAGCTCGGAGCTGATCACGTGGGCTGGATGAAGAAGATTAACAATATTATACAAAAAATAGCCCTCACAGAAAACAGAGTAAAGAGGTAATGTAGAGTGTTGGAGTTGGTCAGAAAATAATTGAACATTTCATAGCCTCACAAACTTTAGAACTCTGGGTTTAAGGTGGTAAAGTCTTTAGGGAAGTCTTGAGGTCAAGAAGTATGGAGTTTCATGATTAGATGTTAGTGTCACAACTATCAGAAAGGCCATCACCAAAAAATCAACAAACAAATGCTGGTGAGGATGTGGAGGAAAGGGAACCCTAGTGCACTGTTGGTGGGAATGCAGACTGGTGCAGCCACTGTGGAAAGCAATTGGAGATACCTCAAAAAATTAAAAACTGAGCTGCTTTATCACCCAATGATTTTACTTCTAGGAACATATCCAAAGAAACCGTGTTCATTGTAGTGTTATTTACAGTAACCAAGATCTGGAAACAGCCCAAGTGCCCATCAGTAGATGAGTGGATAAAAAAGCTGTGGTACATTTACACAATGGAATATTACTTGACCATGTGCAAGAAAAAAATCTTACCTTTTGTGACTGAATGATTGAACCTGGAAAATATTATGTTAAGTGAAATAAGCCAGTCAGAGAAAAACAAGTACCATATTTCACTTATATGTAGAGTCTAATGAACAAAATAAACTAACAGATAAAATAGAAACAGACTCATAGATACACAGAACAGACTGACAGCTCTCGGAGTGGAAGTGCGGCATATGGTGGAAAAGATGAAGGTATTAAGCAAAAAACCCAAACAAACTCATAGACACAGGCAACAGTACGGTGATCAGCAGAGGGAACGGAGGATGAGGGGGGAAGTAGGAGCAGGTAGAGGAATATCAATGGTGATGGAAGGAGACTTGACTCGGGGTGGTGAGCACACAATACAACATACAGATGATGTATCATACAATTGTACACTTGGAACCCATGTAATTTTATGAACCAATGTTGCCCCAATAAATTCAGTAAAAAACAATAAAGATAAAAATTAAAATGTATTGCTTTCCCTAAAATAAAAGAAAAAGGAAAGACTGTCACAAAAATCTCAAAGTTTACATCTAAGTTATCAGCATCTTTGCTCTCTCTTAAGGGAATGATTTCCTTTATAGGTTCTTTCTTTGGTGCCATTTTCATAGATATCAAAGGGAGGTCTGCATGTACCCAATGATCCTTGAGTTTTATCCAGTATCATTTAAAAGGATCTGACCAGTTTAACATGAAAGAAAATGAAAACATATTTGTTTAATGTATATCTGAATTTAAATGCAACATTTTAAGATGAAGGCAAAAAATAAAAAAAATAGAATTGTTTATCTAATCACTGGTATAAAGATAAAGGGCTTTGGAATCAGAGGGACCCAAGTTTGAACCCTGACACCGACACATTTCTTGGCTAAGTTAATCAACCTTTTCTAAATCTTCACTTTTATCTTCTGTATAAATTCCTACCACTAACAAAAAGGGACTAATGACAGTGATCTTACTGGTGTCTTGTGTGAATTAAATAATGTGTAGGTAAAGAATTTCATACGATGTCTGGTGCAAAATAAACAATGAATGCAAGCTGGTCTTAGGAATAAATGCTTCTAGCCCGTGCACCGTCCTGCCACACTCTGAGCTCTTCCCTCCTGCGGGGCCGCTCTTCTCCCAGGCGTTTTCTCACCTTCCTGTTCAATATCTCCACGTGGACTTGAGCATCGTCATGCCTTTTAGTTAAACGTCTCTTCCCAGAGGCCTTCTCCTGGCCAGTCTATCAAAAACAGATCTTTTTGTTTCTTCCAAAGCATAAACATTTGCTTTTTTAGAGGAGTCTATGGTTTTCATTCAAGTCCTCTACAATAAATTTTCTTCCATTTTAAAAATCAAAGCATAGTTTACATACAGTAAAATTGTTTTTTATCGTACGGTTCTGCAAGTTTTGAAAAATGCATCTAGTTGGACAGCCACCTCTATGAAGATAAAGGAAGTTTGCATCATTCACCAAACCCCTCATGCCCTTTGTGGTTAGCCATTCTCCCCAGGCTATGCTGCTGGTGACCACTGACCTGCTCTCTGTCCCTACAGTTTTGTCTTTTCCAGTCTGTCACATAAATGGAATGATGCAGTGTGTAACCTTTTGAGTCTATCTTCTTTCATGTAGCCTAATGCATTTGCAATTCACTCATGTTGTCACATATATCAGTAGTTTGTTCCTTTTCGTTGCTAGATAGTATTCCATCATATAAATATACCGCAGTTTACCCATTGACTAACTGCAGCACATTTAGTTTTTTTGGCAATTATGAACAAGGCACTATAAAAAGTCACATAGTTTTTGATTATTTGAATTTTCTCTTTTGTTTTCATTTTTCTTTTTCTTTTCTTGTCTTCTGTAGATTCTAAAATGTAGATTTTAGAATCAGCTTGTCAACTCTGCTGTGATTTTTATTAGAACTACCATTAATCTATAGGTAAATTTTGGAATAATCAATATTTTAGCAACATTGACTCCTCCAATTCATGAATAGAATATAATAGTTCTGTTTACATCTTCGATTCCTTCCATCAGTGTTGTAGAGTGTCCAGTGAACAAATATTTCAGATTTTGTTAGAATCTGAAATATGCCTATGTGTTTCATGGTTTTTGGTACTATTATAAATGATACTTAAAAATTTCATATTCTAATGATTAATTGCCATTATATAAAAATTAAGTTGACTTTGGTATGCTGACCTTGTGCTTGTGACCTCCCTAAACTTACCTGTAAGCTCCAGTAGTTTGCACAGGTGGTTTGGGTTTTCCACACAGGTAACTGCATCACCTGCAAATAGAAACAGTGTTTTATCTTCCTTTCCAGTCTGCATGCCTTTCACGTCTTTTTTCATTATATTGGCCAGAGTCTCTAGTACAATATTGAATAGGTGGGATGACACATGGTGAATATACATACCTTATTCTCAGTACTACAAGGAAAAGCATTAAGTGTGATGTTAATCGTTCCTTTTTAAAGATTTTATTTATTTATTTTTAGAGGGGAAGAGAGGGAGAAAGAGAGGGAGAGAAGCATCAATGTGTGCTTGCCTCTCACACACCCCGCACTGGCCCACAACCCAGGTATGTGCCCTGACTGGGAATTGAACCAGCGACCTTTTGGTTTGCAGGCCTGCACTCAATCCACTGAGCTACACCAGCCAGGGCTTAACTTTTTTTTAAAGATGCCCGTTCTCATATTGAAAACATTTCTTATATTCCTAGTTTACTGAGATGTTTTTAGTATCAGAATGATCTGCATTTTTTCAATAGTTTTTGATGCATTTATGAGTGATTATTTTTTTATTTGTTTATATAGTCTGCTGACATAGTATATTATGTGACTAATTTTTGAAAGCTGAACCAGCCTTGAATTCCCAGAATAATCTCCACTTGGTCATAATATATTATCCTTTTTGTATATTGTGTAATTCAGTTTAGTAAAGTGGAATTTTTATGTATGTTAGTGAGAGGTATTAGCCTATGTTATTTTTTCTTGCAATGTGTAGTGTTAGTATAAGAATAATAATTGCCTCGTAGAAAAAATGGGGTGTTTTCCCACCTGTTTTATTTTATGGATGAGTTTGTGTAGAAGTGGAATAGTTTATTCCTTCAAAGTTTTGTTGAACTCCCCAGGAATCCATATGGCCTAGAGATTTCACTCTGGTAAGATTTTTAAAAAATGAATCTTCACTGTATTTTTTTTGTCCCTAAAAGGTATTATATTACCTTTTAGTCCCATTATAGCCCCCTTCCCCCAGCAACACCCACACTGTGGTCCATGTTCGTGAGTCCTTTTTCCTTTTGGCTCAATCCCTCCTGCCTGACACTGTGGTAAGACTTCTAACTTCTTTGTGCTGCCTCTTTATAGACACAATTCATCCCTTCTCACTGTCTCTAACCCCTGACAACAACAAATCTGCTGTCTATAATTATTTCATTCCATGAATACTACATAAATCAAATCATACCATAAGTATCCTTTTGAGGCTGGTTTTTTCACTTGGCATAATCTCCTTGAGGTTCCCCAAGTCGCTGCTGCGTGTATCAGTAGTCCCTTCCTTTAGTGAGCAGGAGTCCACAGTATGGATATGTACAGTTTGGTTAACTGCTCCACCCCCAAAGGACAACTAATACAATTTCTAGTTTGGGGCTATGATGAAAAAGCTGCTTTGGACATTCATGCACAACTTCCTGTGTGAAACTAAGTCTTCATTTCTCAGGGTCCAAGAGTGAAATCACTGGGTCATACATTGGGTAGGTCTGTTTTCAGTTTAGTTTTGACAGGAACTTCCAAACTGTCTTCCAAATTGGCTGTATCCTTTTACATTCCTACCACCACCTTAAGAGCGATGCACTTTCTCCACGCCCCCCACCTCACTATAGCATTTGGTGTTATAACTATTTTTCATCTCAGCTCTATGATAACTTACACATGTAGTGATAGCTCGTACTTTTAATTTGCACGCCTCTAATGGCTAATGACATTGAACATGCTGTCATATGTTTATTTGCCATCCAAACGTTTTCTTCAGGAAATTTCTGTGCATGTCTGTTGTTCATTTTCTAATTGGAAAGTTTTGAATGTTGAGTTTTTAAAGGTTTTCATAAATGTAAGATATAAGACCTTTGCCAGACATGTGACATGAAAACCCCTTTGACAGTCACTGGCTGACCAGAAGTTTTACATTTTCATGAGGTCCGGTCTGTCTCTGCTCCCTCCTGCGGGCGGTGCTGTTGGCGTCAAGTCTAAGGTCTCTTCGCCCACGCTTAGGTCCCAAAGATTTTCCGTGTTTCTTTTCTAGAAATTTAACTAAGCTTTCATTTCAATCATTTAAATGTTCTGCTCCTATGTCTAGTTAGGTTGTATACTTCTTTACTATTATCTAAATATTGAAATTAAGAACAAACTGACAGTAACCAGAGGGGAGGTGGGTGGGTAATGGGGGGGAGGGTAAGGTTTTCAGGAACATGTGTAAAGGACACATGGACAAAACCAAGGAGGAGGGTAGATCAAGGGTGGGAGGTGGGGATGGCTGGGGTAGGGGGGAGTGTTGGGGGGGAAATAGACACAAATGCACCAGAACAACAATAAAAGAAAGAAAAAATTTAAATAAAAAATAATTTATTTAGAGACTTTTTTTACTTTTTTGAATTGCATTTATGACTTTCCATCCCAACACAATCCCTACCCAAGAGTTTTATGATATAGAAATAGCATATCACTTTTTTAAAGATTAAAATAGATCTTTCTGAAAAGATAAAAAATATATACATTAGGTGCTTTTCTTTTTAAATCCACAGACTTAGCCCTTCTCTTGGTCTCTTGCAGCTTATTAAATGAGGTGATGTCCTTGGAGGGCCAAATTGGAAATCTGGAGTCACACCAGGACCTTGACCCTGATCAGGGGGCAAACATTGAGGTGAGCCAGAGGCTTGGAAGGGGCAGTCTGGGAGGCTGTGAGGACTCCGACACACCTTGTGCTGTTTAACAGGTCATAACAAGGATTCAAAGCCATTTTTGGTCACAGGGGAGAAGGCAACCTGGTGGTCAGATGTGAGCACCTTTTGTCTGCATGCCACATTTCTGTTGTCTGGTGACATAAAAAGGCTAGACTCTTAAATTCTACCTAGAAAATCGTTCAGACAATTTTGATAGGTTTATATCTTGATGCCATCTTACGATAATGATGAGTTACTTAAGGGAACACTCTTCATTTTTGTATCCCAGTACCTAACAGTACAGAGAAGATGGTCAGGCCATATTAGTAATTTTGTATCTGCCTTTGCTTCCTTAATGAAGAGTCCTTGTGTTAGTTTTCACTATTGCCAAAGTTCTCCTCTTGTTTGGTCTTCTTACATCTCTTAGAAACGCTTTTCTGAGACGGGTTTAATTTTTCCCTTCCTAAAGAGTCATAGAATAGGCCTGGCTGAGCACTGGCCTGCAAACCAAAGGGTTGCCAGTTTAATTCCCAGACAGAGCACATGCCTGGGTTGCAGGACAGGTCCCCAGTTGGGGGCATGGGAGGGGCAACCACACAGTGATGTTTCTCTTCCTCTCTTTCTCCTTCTATTCCCCATGCTCTAAAAAATAAATTAAAAAAAGACTTCCTCAAAAAAAAAAAAAGAGTCATAGAATGTTGTTAAAACGTAGTGATCGACTCTGGGAAAAAATTAGATGTTAGAGCCTTGACTGATACTTTTTCCTCTAAAAAAGGAAAAAGTCTGTATCTAGCTTCCTCTTTTTAATTGAAATTTCCAGCCTCTGCTTTAGCTTAAGCCAAAGAATTTAAATTAAGTGGATTTTGGAAGACGTAAAGAAGAAATATCTTTTTTGCTTATCATCCTTGCTCAGGCACCATGCTAATAATCTTCTCTATATTGCTCCAATTTTAGTATAGGTGCTGCTCAAGTGAGCATGGAGATATATCTTTTTTATTGTAGAAAAGTAATGCTATTTAGACCCTCACATATTAAAACCCATCTACAGATCAGCACAGATTTATTAACAAGGAAAAAATTGCTTTTAACTGTGACTTTAAAAAGTGACTTTTTTAAAGTCACAGTTAAACATGTTAAAGTAGCAACTTCATTTTGTGCTGGTTGAAAATTCAAGAGTTTTTTCCACTATCCTTTGCAAATTGCAAACCATGAAAAGAAGGAAGAGGACAAAGGTCAAGAGATATTCTGCCTTAGAAAATTTCCTCCAAAAGTCATCTGTACTACAGGAATGAGGATTTCAGCAGGAGTTAGGGCTAGGGAGAGATGGATATCAAAACGGAGAGCGCAAAGATAGAAAAGCACAAAAATAAATGAAAGTGAGATTAAGAAACAAACCAATAAGGTCTTGGCATAATATGAAAGGAAGAGCCATCACAAATACGTATGGAGATTCTCTCTGGAGTTCCACAGCTGTGTATGCACTTAAAAAAAATAGACACAAACTTAAAAAGTAAAAGCATCCCAAATATCCACCAACTGATATGCGGATAAACTGTAACAAAGGTCGTATAATGGAGTACTGTGCAGCAATAACAAGGAATGCCTCCTAAGTCATCCAACAGCATGAGTGAATCTCAAACGCATTGTGCTAAGGGAAAGAAGCCAGCCTTAGAAGGTTACACACTCCATGATTCCATTTATGTAACATTCTGAAAAAGGCAAACAACAGGAACAGAAAGGAGATTAGTGGTTGCGAGAGTCAAGTGGGTAAAGGGAGGAGGGTGTTGACAGAGGGCACAGGAGATTTTGGGCATGATGGAGATAGTCCCTACCTTGTTGTAGTGGTGATTATGTGACAGTATACATTTGTCAAAATTCATAGAATTGTACATTTTTAAGGTAGGTTTTACTGTATATAAGTTATAACCTCAATAAACATGGCTTTAAAAATTAGCACAAGTTCTGTTCTCAATAGGTTTAATGGCTGATGGGAAAGCCAGCATAAAAACACAGGCAGTAATTTAATGAATAAGAAACTTTAAACGTAACTGTTGCTGATAGAGGGTCAACAATGGCTGCAGCTTTACTCTAGGGAAGGGAAAAGTGAGCATTGTTAGAAACAAGTATGAGAACAGCAAACAAAATTTAGGAAAATGAAAAAAGACATAAGTTAATGAAGTTTTAAGATATCACATGGATCGGCTCATTCATTTCTCGTGAAGAAGTGGAATGACTCAGCAAGCCATAAATGGAGATAGAGGGAAATCTGATAAAACACATTTGAACACACACAAACACACACACTCCAGAAACAAGTGTCAAGAGCTTTAAGCTAAGAAAAGGCCTTGGAGGGGGCTTTTGGGTACTGCCTGCTGTTGCGCCCACAAGTCCACGAAGCTTTCTGAAATCTCCACGTGGACAGTAACTGGACTTTCATTCTGAGCCTGACCCCCAATCTCAGTTACCTTTGATAAGTACTGTGTAAAAACAGTTTCTGTATAAACAAAGCAAGACACCAGTAAACTATGATTATCACACCACAGCTCTTTCTTAAATAATTAAGTCTTGGAATTCAGAGGTTGGTAATGAATGAAGGGTGTACTGTATACTGTATAACTATTTGAGGGCAAATACTCTTGTTACTGGTGTGCAACCAGCACAATGACTAGCTCAATGGCCTCTTACACAGATATGGCCAATAACATCTTATTGATTTAATTTAACATTGATTTTTAGAGATCAGTACTTGGAAGAGTACAAAAAAATAGCTTCTATTAAATCTCAAACTTTGTGATCATGAATTAGCTTTCTTCTAAAAACTGTCATTTACTTTGTTTTAGTTCCATATATTATTCTTCAAAACTTTTGATTTATACATTTTGTTTTAAAGGAGAAGATCATGGAAATTAAAAAGCAATTAGGAGAAATGGATAACAACTTTGTCCAGGTAATGATAAAATGGCTTTACAATTAAGGAAGAGAAACAGTACTTCAAGGGAATCTCAGATTTAGAGAATTTTAGGGAATGGAATCTAAAATTTGATGAAAAATAGAATTTTAGACCTAAAAGAGAACTTGCCATCTTTTAATCTATACCTTCATCGTCAGAAGAGAAAATTATAACTTAGAAATGTGAAGTGAGTTGCCCATATTTCCAGATGAAAAGAAACAGTCTTGTCCTTGCTCTCCCATTAAAAATATAAACACATGTATAGCCCTGGCTGGTGAGACTCAGTGGATTGAGCAGTGGCCTGTGAACCAAAGGGTTGCCTGTTCAATTCCCAGTCAGGACACATGCCTGGGTTGCGGGCCAGGTCCCCAGTGGGGGGCATGTGAGAGGCAACCACACATTGATGTTTCTCTCCCTTTCTTCCTCTTTTCCCCTCTCTCTAAAAATAAATAAATACAATCTTTTAAAAAATACATAAACGCATGTATGTATAATATATATTTTAACATATAAATACATATGTATCTTTTTTCTTTTAACAAAAGTAATACATACTTATTCATCTTAAACTTCTCCATATTAAAAAATAAAAAATAATCCCATTTACTCAAGAATAAACAGAGTAAATATTTTAATATATTCATATTCTTTCAAATCTTTCTATACATATATTTATGTATTGTATGTTAATGGCATTGTTACATATATTATTTTGCAACTTGTCTTTTTTCACTTAGCATTTTTTCCTTAAAAACATTCTGTGCAACTAAATGTTATTTTACCTTTTCACTGTTTATATAATGCAGGATTTGATCTTTAGATTTATTAAATTCATTTTGTCGGATATTTGGGGCTTTATAATTCATGTTTGCCATTGCAAACTATGCCTCAGAAACCCATATCCTCGCTGCCTTGGCAAATGCTTCTTTAAAAATCAGTTTGGAGAGAAGCCACCTCTCTCTAGAAACCCCCTTTCCTGAGTCCCAGAACGCGGTGCTGCCTGCGGTAACTCCCTTTTCCAGGTGTGCTGCCAATCTACTCTGAGGCGATTCATTTAAAACCTTGAAAAGGTTTCACTCCTGACATACATGCAATCGGCATTCTCATCTTAGAAGGCGAGGGTTTGCTTTCATCCCATTTCTTGATCTTCCTGATAGAGACCAAGCAAAGCCATCTGTCATCTCTGCCTGGCAGCCCGTGGGAGAGTGGGAAGGAACGAGGAGGCAGTGTGGATGGAGGGCTCTTTGCTGAACCATGAGGCCCAGATAGTCAGACCAACATAATAAGGACTTAGGTTTAGATATTGTAAATTTAAAAATGTTTAGAAGATATATAATTATATATTTTTCAGAAACACACACTGTTTCTCTAATCAGTGTCCTGGTGAATGGTTTTCAAGGAGCAAGGAAAGAGTAATAAAAGGAGAAAAAGATGATTTACAATAAGCAGCTGTTGTGCAAATTTATACTTTTAAAGCATTGAAAATAATTTCGTTAATCTCTTGGTTATTCTTCTTGCAATTTATCACGATCACACTATAAATGTGCTCTAAGAGCAAAGCTTTCACTGAGTAAAAGCAAACAAGTGTGATTAAAGCCACATTATAACTAAGTGGTATCAAAAGGAGTGAGATTTCATTGTATAAGCCAGAAAAATAGTATTTCTAGTTTATGCCGAACTATGGGTATCTTTTCAGGCTGATGCTTGTAATGAAGCTCATGAATTAAAGGAGAAACTCGTTGCAAGAATAGAGGTAAGATTTCACAGTTACACAAGCTCAAATAATGATCAAATTAAATGATTTAAATATGCCCATAAATACAGAGGTAAATCTTTCCCAGGAAGTTAAGAATGTACGACATACTGACTTCTTCCCAAACTTATTCCTGTCTTCTGCCCCTCCCGGTACTCTGCCTCAAGCCACAGAATGTCTCACAGGTCTGACGCACTCCCAAGCCCCCACACCCCTGGGCTGTTCCCACGTCTTCTCCACCTGGAGCTTGTCCTTCATGTGTACGTATTACCCATTCTTCAAGGCTCAGCTCAAATGTCATCTCTTCCAGACCTTCCCTAATCTCCCTTAGTCAGAAAAATGATTCAATTTCTGTGAATGAATGGGTGAATGAAACACTGAATAAGTGAATTAACCTCTCACCTGCTCAGAGGTACCTAATCATCCCACTTTCTAGAGTAGATGTCCACCACGAAACCTCAGCTATTCTATCTCATCACCTTATTTATTTTCTCTTTAGCGTGTATCATTTTCAAAAAACATTTTTACTGATTGAGTTTTAGAGAAAGAGAGGAAGGAGGGAGAGACGGAGTGGGAGGGAAAAAAAAGAGGGAAACTTTGATTTGTTGTTCCACTTGTCCATGCATTCATTGGTTGGTTCTTGTATGTGCCCTGACCAGGGGTTGAATCCGCAGCCCTGGCCTATAGGGGTGTCCCTCTAATCAACTGACCTGCATGTTCAGGCCTATCATGTATCTTAACTCATAATATCTAATGTATATATGTGTTTAGGTGTTATAAACACATGTGTAATTCCTCATCCAGTTCCTTAAAAATGCACATGCAATAGAATGCACATTCCTTGTTTATTCTGTTAGCTACTGTATCCTAAACAGGGCCTGATAGGAGTTGCTCAATAAATATGTTCTACATAGATGAACCAATTTAACAGATAAATTCAGTACAAGGAAAATTATCTTCCTACATGAGTAATCCAGCAAAGATTAGCATGTTGGTTTTGTTTAATGTTATACCATGATGCTAACTCACTCTGTCATTGGGTCTCTTTCTACTAATAACAGGTGAGTATGTTCTGTTTTCCAGAACTTCTGCAAGGACATGACTGTGCTGAATACAAAGCTGGGAACATACCAAATGCAAGAAGGAAACACAGACACTCAGAGTCCTGAAGCAATGGGTCTGGAAGAAATGGGGCCCCTGCCTCTCCGGGCTCCACCACACCCTTCAGCGAAGACCTCTCCTCCTCGCATTACACTGTGGTAAGTCAGAGAAAGAAGCTTTTGGGGTCTGGACGAGGTTCTAATATGTATGAACTATAGTAAGATTAAATTTCTTCATGTTAACTAAATATTTGTTTCATCTTTTTATTTTATTTTTTATATAAATTTTTAAAGATTTATTATCATTATTATTTACTTATCTTTAGAGGGGACGGGAAGGAGAGAGGGAGAGAAACATCAATGTATGGTTGCCTTTTGTGTGTCCCCTGCTGGGAACTGGCCTGCAGGGTACCGGCCTGCAACCTAGGCATGTGCCCTGACTGGGAATCGAACCGCGATTGTCTGGTTCACAGGCCCGCGCTCAATCCACTGAGCTACACCAGCCAGGGCTTCATCTTCTTTTATAAATTTTTCATGTTCTTTAAAAGTCATAGTATTCTTATTTTATTATTTTTTTATTTTAATTGTTCAAGTACAGTTTTCTGCCTTTTACCCCCTTTATTCTTCTTATTTTAGACATAGATCCATCGCATTAGCTATACAGATATGGACGTGTATTTCTTTTGTATTGCTGTAGATAATTGTGTGTACATAAATCTTACAGGATGGTGTCTGCAAACTGCGATGCAGCTACCTCCACAGAGACGCACACCTGCAAAGCAGTGTTGAAAAACTTTTCTTTGCTGAGCAAGATGCCTCTCCCTTGTACAGTACTGCAGACATACATACTGGCAAATTCTGACCCTTTGAATTCCTTTCTAGAGATGCCACACAATCAAACATATCCGAGTCCAGTCGGATTCGTTAGCCCCACCCATCAACCCAGAGGGAATCTCCAGCTCCCTCCTCTGTGCGCTCACTATACCTCACGTGTAAGCCTGACACAGCCCACAGCGTATCACTGCAATTAAATTGCTTTAAATCTGTCTCCTCCACGGGCTACTTGAAGGCAGAAATCTTGATCATTTGGGGACCTGAAATATAAAATGTGTTCATCATATTCAACAAAATTAATAAGTGAAGAGTGATGTCAATGAAAATGCCGAAGTAAAAATCCCAGAAAATTTTCTATTCCATAAAATCAATGAGAGAGCTGGAAAAAAATTATCACAATCAACTTTTTCAGAACCCTGTAAATTAAGGATTTCTGTATCCAGAATATATAAAGAACTCTTACAACTTAACAACAAAAAGACAAACTAATTTTTTAAATGAACAAAGGAGTCAAATAGATGTTTCTTCGAAGAATGTACACAAATGGCCAGCACAGAAAAAGATGTTCATCATCACTGGCCATTAGGGAAACACAAATCAAAATCACAAGATACCACTTTACACCACTAAGGTAACTACAAAAAGACAGACAATAACCAGCGTGTGGAGAGTTTGAAAGCCTCGGATATTACTAGTGGGGTTGTAAAGCGGTACAGCCACTTTGGAAACAGCTTGGCAGTTCCTGAAAATGTTAAATATAGAGCTACTATGTGATCTACTCCTAGGGACACACCCAGAATTGAAAACATATGCCCACAAAACACCTGTACAATGAATGTTTGCAGTAGCATTATTCATAATAGTTAACAAGTAGAAACAATATAAATGTCCATCAATTGATGAATAGGTAAACAAAATGTGGTATATCAGTACAATGGAGTATTTTCAGCCACAAAAGAAAATAAACTACTGATATATGCTATAACATAGATCACCACTGAAAACATTATGCTAAGTGAAAGAAGTCAGACGCAAAAGGCCACACACTATGTGATTCCATTCATATAAAATGTTCAGAACAGGAAAATCTACATAGATTGAAAGGAGATTAGTGGTTGACAGGCCTGGGGGTGATGGGAAACAGGGAGGACTCTTCATGGGTGCAGGTTTTCTTTCTGGGGTGATGAAAACTTCCTGAATTTAGATAGTAGTGGTGATTGGACAAGGTTATGAACAAACTAAAAACCACTGAGTTGTATACTTTATGGCATGTGAGTTATACTTCAAAAACAAATAGACAAATAAGTGAATACCTTTCAGCGATCACTTAATTGTGTTATATGGGCAGATTGTTACCCAGTTGCGCTGGTCATCGTTCATCACATCATTACATTGTAGCTAAGATTTCCCAAGACTTAGACCAACTTCTTGCAGAGAACTGGAAACCTATGGGTTCCACTGAGCATATTTATACGTTATTTTTTTTGAGAAAGTGTATTTTGCAGGCTTATTCAATCATTATGTACCAGTTTTGCTGTTTTTGGCTTCAGAGGGTGGCCTTTTTCTAATACTGTTTTATCCCCAGACCCCCAGCTCCCTTATAGTTCTCCCCTGTGCATTCACCACAGTAACGCAAACATTTTGGAAAAGGGTAAAGATTTTATGCATGTCAAGGCTTGACAAGTAGATGGGTAGATAGATACAGTATTCAAATGTCAAAAGAATATTTTTATTTTCTACAGAAGATAAATTTAAAATAAAAAATTATTAATGACAGTAATTTTTGGTTCTGTTCATGGGATATCATAAAAAACTTATTTTTATTTAGCAGGTATAATGTTTTGCTAAGAAAAATGGGTGAGTCCTGACAGGTGTGAGTCAGTTGGTTGGGTGTCATCCCACAAAGCAAACAATCACTGGTTCAGTTCCTGGTCAGAGCACATACCTAGGTTGTGAGTTCAGTCCCTGGTCAGGGCAACCTAGAGAGTTCACTGTAGCAAAGGAAAAACTGAAGGACACGATACACTCTAACAACAAAAACAAAAACAAGCCTAATTAAAAAAAAAAAGAAAGAATGAATGAAAGAAAGAAAGAAAGGAAGGAAAGAAAAAGGAAAACAACTTATAGGAGTATTTGGATTATACTTTATTAGTTTTCTAAATTATCTGTAATTTAGAAAGAATATTTTTCTCTTAAAAATGAATGTTAAGTGTGTTTCTTTATAAGTGTTCCAGTTTTAGTACTTCTAAAATGACAAGTTTTAGAACTTAAGAATAAAATGTTTATTTTCTAGATATGTTTGGTAGTGAGCCGTTTCTATTTTGATGACATTTAGTGCTGCTGGAGGCCAGCATATCTCTGTTCATGTCAACGGCCCTCACAGCCTCGTCCTCACAGGGTATTTTAAGAACACTGGCTCTTTAATAAATGTGTGAAGTAGAAGCGATTATTTGTATATCTACCAAGAGATGGCCAGTGGCAATAATGCCCCCAAACAGGGTCGAGGTTTTATAGAACCCATTGAGTTGGGGCACAAGATATATTCATTCTTAGCTTTAGCTGCACTCTAGATTTTCTCTTCTGAAGTGTGTTCTAGATGGTAATTATCTCCAGGTAACTGGATCATCTGTGACACTTCTTCCTGGTGTTTTTCTGGATTTTCCAGATTTTCTACTCTCATCATGTATGACATTTATAATTAGAAAATAATAATGCAAGGACTTAAAAGCAAGTAAGTAAAATACATTATAGGCACAGCCCAGAGGAGGAGTCTTCAAAGACTTGGAAAAACTTACATTACTTAAGAAGGGCAAGTCCGATGCCAGGACAAAATGGGGGATAGAGAGGGCTGAACTTCACTAGTCACATTTGGTTTTGTATCCCAAGGATAATTCAACCGCCCTGTGTCTTTATTTTCTCCCCAACAGGCATCATATCCTTCACAGGTGAGGCAGAGATGCCACTCATCCGAGAGCATTTCAGAGGGAAGAGCCACACGGTGTCAAGGGTTTCATTGTTTCACGTCTACAGAATCTTAGAATTCCAATGCCAGTCCTAAGATGAGTGTCCGTGCCCGTTAACTCCAAGTTCCTTTTGCAGATGTCAACTGAGGTCACAGAAGTTCAGTTACTTAACCTGAAGAGCTACCTACCTGGGCAGAGGCGCCTGGACTCACTTCCGTGTGTTTGTTTGTTTTCTCAGAAGGTTCTTAACACAGATGTTTTCTTTCCTTGTAGGAAACGTGCACTGAGGATTTTCGCCATGTTTTATGTCCTCACCTTCACGGGACTTTCGTGTTACATACTGTTGTTTGATGCCACATTCATCTTTGAAAGGGTGCTGCCCACAATGCTTGGGCACCGCAAAATGTGGGAACTACGGGAGATGATCACACCTTTCTTAAATTTGGAAGTGGAAGACTTGTTACCCTCCTAACCTTCTGCAGGTGCTGTTACCCTACTAATAAAATTCTGGCTGTTCTTGTGTTATGATGGTTAACTTCTTTTACAAATAAAATGCTATAGGGTGTTTGGCAAAGGACATTGTAGTCATGTGGAAATTGGTTGATCAGTGACAGAAAAAAAATGAAAACAGCTTAGTGGACCCTTCAGTGCATGACGACTTCCTGAATCATTCCACACACTGATTCAAACATTTACTTCAAACCACTAGCCTCTCTTCTCCCCCAACCCTGAGCTCACGGACATTATCATGTATGAGCTTCCTTGGTTATTACACCCATTTCACCACTGATGTCTCTGAAAAGAAAGCCCAGAATTCCTCTCCATTGTTTCCAATTTTACATAAATTGGATTGATGCTGTATTTTGGGTGCAGTGGACATTTCTTAGTTTTTCTCCCTAACATTCACTTATGTTTTTGGTAATAGCACACTTATTTTGCTTTGAAATAGCTATCTTTGCTTTGAAATAGCTATCTTTCCCCCCTGAGCATAATTAGAGGTGGTTTTTAGTTGATATTCCCTCTTACCCTATTAATAAGAGTTGGAAATATGTCAAATCAGACAATCTCTAAGAATGAGCATTTTGAGAATCATACAAAAACGGGAAATGGCTGGAACTTCAATTTTGAAAACTAGCCTGTGTCTTTTTCTGCTCACATTAGCCAGAGTCTGTTCCGTTGCTCATAATCGAAGGAAGTCTAATTGATGCCGTGGTTTTGAATGCCAGCCTGGAGCATTTTCATCGCTAACTTTGTAGGTAATGGAGAAATAGTAAACTTTAATTTTCAATATGAAAAATAATTATAATTGAATCATGCAAGATTAACAGAACCATTAAGAATAAATTGTGGTAAGAGGGGCAGATGGAGTGTGAAAGGTCAGTTACAAGGCCCCTCAGGGGCTCAGATGAGCTGCAGGGGTGGGACTGGGGGTGAAAAGGTGGCGATGGGCGAAGCAGATAATCTAAGGGTAGATTTTACATGTGGTTGCGTCATGGATGTGGGGTGGGAAGACTGGTGGCAGAGACTGTGGGACACAGTTCCAATCGCCAACATTTGAATGGATCTTGAAGAATGGATACTATTTTCATGGCAAAGAGGAAGAAAAGGCATTTCAGAAGACAGGCACATCACAAATTAAATAGAAGCCATGAATATAGGGTGGTCAAGAAAGTTGGCACAGCATATTGCTCAATGCACTGGTCTGTACACTGCTTAAAAATAAACACTATGCCTCACTCATTTTTGCGGTCTCTGCTACAGTGATTCCTAAACCCCAGCCCTTTCATCACATGCATCAGAATTACTTGGGGAGTTTATGCATTAGAGATTTTTAATCCCAACCCCAGTGATTTAAATGGCATAGAGCTAGTGTGGGGTCCACTCATTTTATTTTGAATTATCTTTCCAGCTGAATCCAATACAAATGTGAATTTTGGAACCATGTCTTGGTACACTTTAGGGCAATGTAGTTCATGTAGTAGGTACTCAAGAAATAAAATTAGATTATGTGCCCTTATCTTTGTGAGATCCCCACACCTCTTTCAGTGCTACATCTAATATCTGTTCAAAGATTCATCAGAGCCATCTTTCCACTGCCATCTTCTCCCTTGAAGTAACCCTGCAACTCCTTCTTAACATTCCAGAAATCACCAGGTCCTTCCAGTTCTTCCACAGCAATTTTTTCCCAGATCAGTGGCCTTTCTTTGTACTTCTAATGTTTCCATTCTGATAGGTCTTATTGTACAAAAGTATTACTGCTGGGAAAATCAGCTTGCATAGACCGCTATTATATACACAACTTTAGAAAAGCATCAACTCCAAATGCCACCTGTAGCCTGATCTTCTACAGCCAGGAAACTAAATCAGTTGCTAGAAATGTGAAATTGGCTTGTCAGTGGTTCTCAAGCTGGAATGCTTAACAGATATTTGACTGTGATTCCACATTTGAGCAGAAATTCTGATTCTTAAGATCAAGAATGAATCTCTCATATCTTCTATTTGAATTGTTTCCCCTAACAATTCTGAGGCCTCAATGTTTAAGAACTACCATGCTATGCTACGGGCAAAGGAGACTGCAAATTGGCTGAGATCCCACAGAGAGCTAACCAAGAGGTGACAAGTTTTGGAGGCAGAAGGGCTGGGGGATGGCTGAGGGAGTTTCCAGGACACACAGAAAGGGAAAGAGCCAGAGCCCTGGGGACAGTGAGTAAGAATTCACAAGGTCTCATGATGATGAGAGGATATGCTGACAGACAGACAGACAGACAGATTCATTTAAAAAAAAAAGCCACAGCTAGACTTGTTTACAGATAAAGGGACCATTCGGATCAATCTGTAGACAGAAGTTGGTGTAGGTTTTTCATCATCTTTAGGTAAATTCTTATTGCTGGATAGAGTATCAACTAGTTTAAGAACCAAAAAGAGGCATTGAGTTTAAGTAGCTCAAACAAAGGTAAAAGTATTGCAATACTCACATAACACTATGAACTAAGGTAGGAAACCTGACTCTTTGAAAGAATACATTAATATTTTATTCACTTTCAGGATATATTTTATTAGGATTTTGACTAATACAGAGTAATTTTCCCTGGGGAATGAATGGTCTTAAAGTGGGAATGATACTATTTTCACATGAATTTATTTTCAATTTGTCAGCATCTCAAGCTGGACCAAGGTGCCGCTCTACTCAGAGAGGGAAACATTCAGTGAGGTTCTGCCATATTATGCTGGTAGAGCTGTCTACATGTGGTAATTCAGCTAACTACTTTGGTTGGTGGGGTCTTATTTCAGATCTTTCAAACGCCATATTCAATTGAGTCGATGGATGTTTTCAAAATCACTTACTAAAAATGTCAGAATCACTTTGCAAATATGGTCTTGGTTTGGACAAGGAGGGGAAAAATGAGTGGTCACAAAATCTCCATTTGTCATTTGGGAGTGGGGTGAAGACAGCTATGATGTAGTGAAAAGAGCTTTAAACTTAGATTCAAAGGTGAGCTAATCTGTTGCCAACTGCATGTCTAGTGTAGTCAACTAATCCCCAACCCCCACAGGGATGCAAGCTCTCCTCCCCCAGCTGTCAGAGTGTTGGCTGCTGGGAGTTCGCAGCTAGGATCCTCCCTTAGACTTGCCTTTGGTTAGAGAGACCTGCTTCACCTACGGTTCCCCTCCTTTCCCAGTGGTAATGTGCATTCGAAGACTGATCCAGGGCAGGGTACATTTCTGAAGGGCCATCCAAGACTCAGCTACTCCTGGGATCAGTTAAAGCCACTAGTGTGACTGTGTCACAAGTCAACTTTTTCCTCTGCCCAGTTCTGTTCCCATCGTCCCCTTTACAGGTGATGATCTTGAGAGTCTGCCCCTGTAAACCTACGCTCAAGTCATCATTTCAAAGTCCATTTCCTGGGAAACCTGACCTAAGACACCTGTGGAAATAAATGAAGACCAACCAGATGAAAGCAAGCAAAGGCTCTTCATTCTGAGCTCGCTGTGGCAAGGGAGTCAGCCACCATCACTTGCGATTTAACACAGACTCAAGGTAGGCAGAGAAGTGAGAAAGCTTTATAGCAGAAAAAGAAGAAGGGTTCAGATATGTCCTGATTGCAGGCTGTGGCATGGGGAAGATATAGGTGGGCTGACTGGAAGCTGGGAGTCCTATACAATGGCCAGGGGGCATATTTGATTTTTCTGGTTGTTCCTAACTTTGAAGGGGGACAAAAATTAGGGAAGCTGTCAGTTGTTTACACATGAGTAAATTGAGGAAAATATTACCTGCCTCATGAAATAGTTGGATTAATAGATTGGGTATTATGATTATTATTATAATGATCAATTACGTTGGAAAATATTTTTTTAAACATTTGAAATCACCTAACTAAGAACTTTGGTTCTGACCTACTAGGGAAGAAATGAATTTGAGTATATTTCTTGATATATTATATCTTGAGGCAAAAATCAGTGAACCACACATTTTGACTCCTTCCTTTCTTGTGTTCCTCCCACAGCCTGGCAGAAAATCTTGTTGGTTCTACCTTAAAACATATGCAGAATTCAAGGACTTCTCACCACTCCCTGATACCAACTGCCCTATGAGCCACTATTATTGCAAAAATCTACCAATTCTTGCTCTGATTCTCCCTGATTCCATCCTTGCCCACATACTGGTATAATTCAGCAATTAGAGTGATACTGTTTGTTTTATTATCAAATTGCATCACCTTCCTGTCCTAAAAACCTTCACTGGCTACTTATTTGTTTTAGAGTAAAAGCCAAAGTCCTTACCATGGCCTTGAACTACCTGTGTTTGGCCCTCCATTAGCTCTCTCGCTTCCTTTGATCCTATCACTCTGTTTTGCGGTCCACCTGATGGTTTCTGGAGCCCAGCAGGCGCACCTCAAGGGCTTCGCCCTGGCTGGCCCCTCTGCCTGGCAGGCTCTCTCCATGAATATCCACATGGCTCACTCCCACAGTACCTTCAAATCTTAGCTTAAATGTCATCTTCTTGGCTCCAATAAGCCAGATAATAACAAGTGTTTGTGAGGATGTGAAGAAATTGGAACCTTGACATATCGCTGTTGGTAATGTGAAATGATATAGCCACATGACTCAGCAATTCCACTCCTAGGTAGGTGCCCCAGAGAACTGCAAACACATGTCCACACAAACACCTGAACAGGAATGTTTGTAATAGCATGCCATAATAACTCAAAGCAGAAATAATTCAAATGTCTATCGACTGGTGAATGAATATGCAAAATACGTTATGTCCATCATACAGGATGTGAGAAGTTAGGAAAATTCCTTGGCTAGCAGAATGAGGAAACTGAGACAGATAGCTAAACCATTTAGCTGAACAATTTATAGCCAGTTCCAGGTCACCAGGGTGGAAAGCATCAGGCAAACCTGGTGCTAGACTTCACCCCCAGGGTGGCCTTTCCTCTCCTGGCATATCACTGGCTGTGTGGTTTCAACCCCTTGACCTTTCCTCCCTAGAAATAAC